TTATCGTACAAACTATGATGATGATGAATGTTGCAAGAGGCAATATAAAATTATTTATGGTGAATGTTAATTTCTCCACTTGTTCTCGTTCCTCTGAATAGATTAATCCGAATATAGTTTTATTATACTGTAATGAAAATTTAAATCCCAGCTTGTTGACGACATAAACAGGCGTGGAGCTACACCAGAGGACAACGAAGACACAGCAGTTGAGAAATGCCGCCCGTCTAGAGGTAACCATACTTTTTATCTGCGAAACAACAAAAATAATCAGGTATTTCTTTTATTTTATTTAAATATGTATAATATTATTTTTATTTTATCCACACACACACACACACAAACACAAACACACACACACACACGCGCGCGCGCGCTTAAACATTTAGTAATAAAATTATATTTGTTGGATTCATTCTTTACCAGAAAACATAACACGAATAGGGAGTCACCGCGGCCGAGCGGCCAGACGCTCACTGCGGATCGGAAAGTCGTTGGTTCGCAGTGTAGCGAAGCGGGACTTTTTCAAACATGACCTTGGCTCCCAGGTCGACCCAGTCTTGAGAGGGTACCGGGTGCAGTCCCTGTAAGTAAAGGCGGCCGACGTGATGCTGACCACATCACCCGTCTTGTGCCGATTGGTCTATAAAAATATAGGTCTAGCCCTATATGCCCTATACGCCTAAAGACGTTGGAAAGGGTCCTTTACTTCTTTTTTTTTTTTTACTATTATACAAATAGTTTGTGGGAGTTTAATGGAAAGAATAAATCTATAGCAAGAAACCAATAAAGCTTTACGTAAGCTGGGTTTTTAAAAAAAAATCATTTATGTCAATTTTTGAATTGGTAAATGTTGCGCAAACCAAATGTAGGGATATCCGTGACAAAATGGTCGAGCCATATGTCTCCTGTTATAAATGTTGTGGTTTCGTTTCTCGGCTCGGCCTTCAGTTCACTAATGCAAGTTTAACAGAGATCCACGATGATCGTCGCATGAGCTACGGAGTTCGTGCGTGTGACGCTTTCGACAGTCGGCTAGCCAATCTGTGGAGGAATACCGAGCCATATAGGATAAAACCCTGTGCAATGAGCTCGATCTTCTCCACCGTAACCTGTAATTGAGCACTGTGTCGACATCAAGCTTTCACATTGGCCATCTTACTTCCAATAACATTTCATGCTGTGTTTCTTTCGATACCACTAAAAATATTCCACTAAACATATGCCACTAAACATATGCCATTAAACTTTGCGAGCGAGTGAACAGTGCCGAGGCACAGATAGATCATTACGGTCTGAGGAGAATGGCAATGCGAGGAGTTACAATGGGATTCGGCCAACCCTTGACACTCAGGGGAAAGGCGAGACGGATATACAATCAGACAGTTACTAGTACCATCGGAATTTTAAGTCTTCGCTTCCTGCTGAAGGTGGGAACAGAGCGATTATGGGTGTGTCCCAAGTATTGTGATGTTGATTCTTAATTCCACATGCAACATTCTTTAAACACACAGAACGAAAGTTGAATGCATTTGAAAATAAATGCCATATCAAAACGACAACCATAAAAAAGGATCAATTCAAGATTTGGTAAGACATAGGTCAAAAGTCTGTACACCTATTAGTAACACCACTTATCGGACAGAGAAGATGGAGCTATACTAGACATATCCTGAGTGTCTACGGGCAGAGAATCACTAGCCAGGCACAAGAATGGGAAATAACGGGACTATGGAGGTAGGGACGACCAAAAGAAACCATAAGATGAACGTTGATGAAAGAGACCAACATTGGGAAATAACAGGATTATAGAGGTAAGGACGTCCACAAGAAACCCTAAGATGAACATTGATGGGCGAGGTCAACATTAGGAAATAACGGGACTATGGAGGTAGAGACGACCAAAACAAACCATGAGATGAACGTTGAAGGAAGAGGCCAACAATGAGAAAAAACGGGAAATGGAGGTAAGAACGTTCAAAAGAAGCCCTAAGATGAACGTTGATGGGAGAGGCCAACAATGGGAAATAACGGGATATGGAGGTAAGAATGTCCAAAAGAAACCCTGAGATGAACGTTGGCAGGAGAGGCCAACAATGGGAAATAATAGGATTATTGAGGTAAGAATGTCCCAAAAAAACCATAAGATGAACTTTGATGGCAGAGGCCAACAATGGAAAAACAAGGGATTATGGAGGTAGGAACGCCCAAAAGAAACCCTATGATGAACGTTGATGGGAGAGGCCAACAATGCGAGACTGGATTCTATCTATGATATCGAAGTGTGTGCACGGGAAATCACGGAATTAAGGACTAGACTACGAGCCCTATGTGACACAAGGGGCTGCATGGTCTCAAGGCATGGTGTCCGCCTCCAGTACTAGAGGTTCTGGGTTTACCTGGTACCGTTATGTGTGTATACCTGGCATTTTTTTCAAGTGGACATGAAATTCTAGTAATTCCCCCTGGTCTGTGGGTAGTGAGATCGGTCGCCCGTGTGCATTGATGCGCACGTAAAAAATTCATTGGCAGTTGGTAATCGAAAAGAGTAGCCTAACGGCGCTGCCCGGGCAAAATAGGGAGTTTAAAATCTACCCAAAGTATTTAAGGATCCTCGCCTGTGCTACGAAGCCTGTGCACTGTGCTAAGCTTCTTCGGACTCAAACCTGAGTTAGAAAAAGAACGGATCACATGTGGGTTACTACCCGTGTGCCATGATGTTGATCTGTTATTCAAACCTCAAACCTAAAAACCTATGTGACATAATGGCACAACCCGACAAGGAATATATGTATATATATATTTATATATATATATATATATATATATATATATATATATATATATGTGTGTGTGTGTGTGTGTGTGTGTGTGTGTGTGTGTGTATTATCATATAATAATATTTAAAAACACACGTTTAAAACACCTTTAAAGGAGCTGATACACACAGGCATCTCTCTAGAGTGATTAACGCGGTGATCCAGCCGGTTATACGAGAGAACGTGAGATGTGCCATGGCTGCAGTCAAGTAGTTGACCTCGATGGGATCAAAAGTGAGGTTGGCTCCACTGAACTCCAGCGTGAAACAAACATTCGTCACACACAAAGTTATCAGACAACATAGGTCAGATAATGACAGACCTGTAAATATGCACAAGATAAAGGTAATTACATCAACATAAACTGAAATATTGGTATTGTGTAACCATGTAAGGTATTTTCAGTTCTAATTTTGTCGTTTATCGTTTATTCTCTCCCCCCCCCCCCCCCTCCAGTTTAGGCATATGCCATTTAAAGTTAAAGAACCATCAAAGACGTGGAATAGGGAAACAATGCATTAGAAAAACAAGCGCGTCAGGAAAACGATGAACATAAAGAGGAAAAAAAAGGGAGGAAAAGGGGGGGGGGGGTTAATTAATGTTACAGAATCACTAAAGACATGGAATGGAGAAACAATGCATGAGAAAAAACAAAATGTCAGGAAAACGATTAATTTAAAGGGGAAAAGGGGTGGGTGGGGAGGGGGGGGGAGATTAAAGAGGGATGAAGATAGAAGAGAAATTTGTGCACAGTAGCAGGCATCCATCACTCCCTGGGGTCCATGGAATTTAGCCTCTGATTTTGGGAACCGTTTTTGCTATGACTGTAAAGTCCAATGTGGGAGTGGCAGTAACGTCTACTTTGACTGTAAAGTCCAATGCAGGAGTGGCAGTACCGTCTGCTATGACTGTAAAGTTCAATGCGGGAGTGGCAGTCCGTTCACTATGACTGTAAAGTCCAATGCGGGAGTGGCAGTCCGTTCACTATGACTGTAAAGTCCAGTGCGGGAGTGGTAGTAGCGTCTAAATGTTGAATGTTGATTGTTGAATTAAGAATCAACATCACAGCAATCGGGACACTCCCATAAGGGCTCCGTCCCCATCTTCAACAACAAGCGAAGAGTTCAAATTCCGATGGCACCAGTAGCCGTTTGACTGTATACTTCTCCTGAGCGTTAAGCGTCGGCCACATCCCCTGGTAACTCCACGCAGTGATGACTGTAAAGTCCAATGCAGAAGTGGCAGTAGCGTCTGCTATTACTGTAAAGTCTAATGTGGGAGTGGCAGTAACGTCTGCTATGACTGTAAAGTCTAATGTGGGAGTGGCAGTAACGTCTGCTATGACTGTAAAGTCCAATGTGGGAGTGGCAGTAACGTCTGCTATGACTGTAAAGTCCAATGTGGGAGTGGCAGTCTCTACCACATAGCCCGCAGAGAAACGGTGATACACTATTCCTCTCACGCTTGTTTTCTCTCAGACGTCTCTTCTTTATAGCATGATGCGTTTGCCCTCTTTCGAATTGCGACAGTCAGTCTTTCACAGTCTGCCTAGGAAGTCGGTCAGCAGATAATTTCTCATAAGTGTCTGTGTCACTGTCGGTACCCTTCCTCTGCATACGTCCTTATAGCGTAGCTTTGGCCTTCCTGCAGATCTTATCTCTGTCACCAGTTCACCATACAGGAGATTACTGCTACTTCCCATGGTGCGTCGAAGCTGTTAAGCGACGCCGGAGTAACATGTTCAGGGTACAGGCCTGACATGTTGAACTAGAGTACAAGCTGTTGCCCAGGCAGTACGTACCCCCTCTCTACGTCGCCGGTAATACCAAGGAAAGGGCAAACGCCAATACAACCTGGCACCGAAAACGTTGCAGAAATTTCCGGAGCAGCAGTGTAAACACGGTTGCACCGCTTTATAGATTCAAGCTCCCGATTTTTATTCAGGGTTTACTCCCGAAGCACTTTACCTAGATCAGGTATTGTCACAAGACAGTGGAGGTTTGGGGTCAGTTTTCCTTCTCCTAGATGAGCTAAACAAAAAACGAAGCATCTGCAGCTATAGCAGTAGCAGCTAGGTAATGCTTCTTTATTAATAACACTATACAATCTTACTGTAATAAAGTGAACATTTCACTTACTAGTAAAGCTCACGTTGATGGATTCCTTGAAGCCTTGCTTGACAAAACAAACAATATTGATGATGTTTGTGATAATTCCGAAAACAACAATCAATTGACAAATTATGCCGTAGACAAGCCATGTGAATATACGTATAGTTTCGTTACCAGTGTTAGAATAATCTGTAGTGCTAATAAGCACGTGAGAAACATTGACATTGGCAAAAGGTTCTATTAGACTTCGCTTCATTATTTGTTTCAAGTCCACTGATATTATACTGAACTAAATTTTATTCAGCGTTCACAATAGCCATTCAGCGTTCTATAATAAAGTAAGTTTCCCAAATCACATACCGATAGTTGACAAATTATGCCGTAGACAAGCCATGTGAATATACATATAATTTCGTTACCAGTGTTAGAATAATCAGTAGTGCTAATAAGCACGTGAGAAACATTGACATTGGCAAAAGCCTCTATAAGACTCTGCTTCATTATTTGTTTCAAGTCCACTGATATTATACTGAACTAAATTTTATACAGCGTTCACAATAGCCAATTAGCCTTCACAATAGCCATTCAGCCTTCACAATAGCCATTCAGCGTTCACAATAGCCATTCAGCGTTCACAATAGCCATTCAGCGTCCACAATAGCCATTCAGCGTTCACAATATTCACAATAGCCATTCAGCGTTCATAAAGCCATTCAGCGTTCACAATAGCCAGTCAGCGTTCACAATAGCCATTCAGCGTTCACAATATTCACAATAGCCATTCAGCGTTCACAATATTCACAATAGCCATTCAGCGTTCACAGTATTCACAATAGCCATTCAGCGTTCACAATAGCCATTCAGCGTTCACAATAGCCATTCAGCGTTCACAATAGCCATTCAGCGTTCACAATATTCACAATAACCATTCAGCGTTCACAATAGCCATTCAGCGTTCACAATAGCCATTCAGCCTTCACAATAGCCATTCAGCGTTCACAATAGCCATTCAGCCTTCACAATAGCCATTCAGCGTTCACAATAGCCATTCAGCGTTTTGTAATAAAGTTAAGTTTCCCAAATCACATACCAAGGGCCGATTTGTGTAAAAATATAGGTGTAACTTTATATGCCTAGTATGCTCTATGCGTCCGAATGCGTGGAAATAGGTCGTTTAGTTTACTTTTAGGGGTCCTAATGGAGCAATGATGCGCAATACAAGACTCTTAATGTCTATTAGCCTCTCTTGCTCAAGCCTACCTCACCTTTACGTGGTGGACCCTGTTCTTCCCAGCAATCCAGTTGAAGGTTGGGATCTCAACCCCCAGCGGGAAACTAGATGGGACAACAAACGAGGTAAAGGCGAAAGACGAATGGATGAGCCTACTTTCCTCGAGTATGATCACAGTCTACCCTAGCAAAACAAGGTGCTGAAGTCGGAGGCAACTATCCAGGAGGCGCACCACAGCAATCAGGATGCCACGCATACACGCCATAGGCGAACGAAAGATGAAGAATAAGTTTACTTTTACATATGATTGACTGACTGAAAAACAAGGAATATCCCAATAAAAGCCACACTCGATCTTTAGGCTAAGTTTAAAATTTGGGTTTGCTGCACTAGTTGCAGACCAGAAGGACTGGAATGGTTACAAACTAAACTCACCTAGAAATCCCAAATTGAAAATTAGTTGGAGATTTAAGGGGAGGGGGGCGGGAGGCCTGGCGCTTCCACGTCTGGTCTGACTAACAACATAACATATTTCGGGTAGTGTGGTAGTCAGGCCAGGAAGAAAAAAAAAAAATAGAAAGCGCACGTGTCTAATACGGTTAATGTCACAATCGTTGTCTGCGCAAAAATACAGATAGTCTGATAGGCCGACTGTGTCTTTATAGTAGCGGTGGTGTAAGAGTTTTTGTGTTTTTAACAGCTGAAAGTAAAGCTTACTACTGTATTTCTAAATGACCGACAGACTCGCAAAAAAAAAAAAGCATGAGATTAGCCGAAGAAGCGTTATCAAAATATAAATAATTTAATAAGTGAGAACTTTAAAATCATGTTTTAAGCTGAATTAAAATCCTGTTTTAAGCTCTCTCAGTTAACAGTGACTTTCATTACTCTCCCCCCCCCCCCCCCCAATCCCCACCAACCCAATCCACCGACCACTCCTTTCTCCCTCTCAGACGGATTTGAAATTGATCACCTGACCATTTTTGATTGACCTTGGCATCAGTTTCCACCCAGACTAAAATGGACTTTAAGCTCTCAGTTAACAGTTTCTGTCACCCCCCCCCCCCCACTCCCCTTTCACCCTTTCATCCCAAATGCACCGACTGCTCCTCTCTCCCTCACCGAAGAAATGCCCACATCATAACACGTCCATACACCCTGTCAACAACTCTTTGATACCATAACGACCAACTTCATGCAGATTTCTGAGGTCGCCTTTCAACGTAAATAACAGCTGGCGTTGTGAATGCGGCAAGGGAGAAAATAAATCGGATCGTTGGAAGACAAAACCAAGATGCCTATGTTATCGTCGCTGGAGCTATGTAGTTCATGCCTTGTGCAACACTCTTATATAAAAATACGCGCGTATTCGAATGCAGCCTCTGTGAAATTTTCAAAGCAATCGGTGAAGACCTTTGGTCGTTGCTTTATTCAGAGATCTGAGGTCAACAGTCAAAGGTAGCCCACCAGCAGAACTAAAAACAATTTCGTTTCGGGAACGAAACAAAAACAGATGTGATCGTTGCTGTAGCTATGTTGTTCGTGTTGCGTGCCACACTCTTACATAAAAATACGTGCGCAGTTAAAAACAACGTTGTGTGAAAATTTGAAATCAATCGGTTGTGAACTTTCGGAGATGAGCTATTATAACCAACGAAAACTTACATTTTTATTAACATAGATGTTTTCTTAAATGTTTTGGCTGTTTGGGTTTGAAGGCGCTATAGTACGCTTAGATGCTCATAATATTGTCAAAATCAAAGCAAAGTGGCCTGGTACCAAGTTATCTGTTGTTCTAAATCGCACCGTATGTTAGAGTTTTTAGAAGGGATTTTCGTAATCCCTTTATCACAATTCCGACTCTTAAATACAGTTTTACGAAATGGAAAGAAATAGCTCCAAGGCATGTTTCCATTGTTTCATTGCTCCTAAGTAAATTTTGCTTAAAGCTAGATTCAATATTTTAATAATCTCTGTGTTAAATCTAAACCTTATTCGCGTATAATTTAGTTGAGAATAATTTTTTCAAGTTTATATGTTTTCGGTGCAAAGTTAAATATGGGGGAAGTCAGTCTGAACTTAATATCCGTGCATCTAATAACTGTTTTACGTGTTATAAGCACTAACATTTATATTATAAAAGATACTGTTTAAAAGTCTCCTCACGTTCATAAACTAAAGGGGTAGTTTCTGGAGTCAAAGACAATGTAACCAATGTTTAGTGTAAAATTCTTGTTTAATTACCTATTTATAAATATTGCGCCGATTGAAGACTGAATTTAATTAGTTTGTCCGTTCTTGAACTTCCCCGTTAAGTACAATCGCAGCAGTAGACAAGGTAGAATAGTTAAAATCACTGTGTTGGAGAGTGAGATTAACCAAGCCACGTAATTACATACACATACGAGAACTTCATCTGGAATTATTGTGTTACATTTACAGCAACACAAAATAAATGATAGCGTTTGAGTTGATAATTTCCAGACGTCATGTTAACTAACGATCTTTTTTTAAATAAAAAACATGAAATTCGCTACAAAATGAGGTGGGGCTATTGTGTTTCTTCTTCTTCTTCTTCTTCTTCTTCTTCTTTTTCTTTTTCTTCTTCTTCTTCTTCTTCTTCTTCTTCTTCTTCTTCTTCTTTTCTTCTTCTTCTTCTTCTTCTTCTTCTTCTTCTTCTTCTTCTTCTGCCTTTCTATCTCTCAATGAAGCATAGGCCTCAACCAACTCACGCCATGTCGTTCTATCCTTCGCCATTGCATGGAGCTCTCCCCATGTCCTCCCAATCTTTCTAACCTTATTCTCCAGCTCTCTTCTCCATGTGTTTTTTGGCCTTCTTTTATTCCTATGCCCCTTTGGGTTCCAATGCAAAGACATTCTAAATATGCTGTTCTCCTGTTTTCTCAGTGTGTGCTCTATCCAACGCCAGCGTCTTTTCCTCACCTCTTGGTCCACTGGAGCCTGTTTAGTTCTCTCCCAAAGTTCTACATTAGTTATTTTATCATACCATTTTATTCCCTCTATTCTGCGCAGGCACCAGTTAATGAATGTCTGTAGTTTATTAGTAATTGCCTTGGTTGTTCTCCATGTTTCCGCCCCATACAATAGTACTGATTTGACATTAGAATTAAAAAAAAATATTTTATTATTTCTTTTAATTTCTTTTGACCTCCACAAATTCCCTAAGGCTATGAAAGCCCCTCTTGCCTTTTGTATTCTTATTTTAATATCTCTATCAGTTCCTCCATCTTTATCTACATTACTGCCTAAATAGGTGTATGACTCTGCGTCTTGGAGTTGGGTGCCATTAAGAGAAACCACATTACTATTTGCCTGATTTATTCTCATTATCTTTGTCTTTCCTTTATGGATTTTCAGACCAAGCTGCTGTGATCTCGCATCAAATATATTTAATTTATCTTGCATCTGATTCCGTGAACGGGACAGAAGAGCAATATCATCAGCGAAGTCCAGATCATCAAGCTGTTTTGTAGGGGTCCACTGAATTCCATTCTTGGTGTTAGCAGTTACTGTTTTTTATAGTCCAGTCTATAGCCAGTAAAAATAAGAGAGGCGATAAAAGACATCCCTGTCGCACACCTGTTTTTATTTCAAATGCATCTGTTAGCATTCCCTCATGAAGAACTCGACATTTCATGTCTTTATATGTTGCCTTTACTAAGCTGATAATTTTCTGTGGGATTCCATAGTGCCTCATTAATTTCCAGAGAGATTCCCTATCAATGCTGTCAAATGCTTTTTCAAAGTCTATAAATCCAATGTAAAGTGGTGAGTTCAGTTCAATGCTTTGCTTTATTATAATACGTAATGTGGCTATCTGGTCAGTACAGGATCTGTTTGACCGAAAACCTACCTGCTCATCTCTTAGCATTTTATCAACATCATCTTTTAATCTTTCAAAAATAATTATATTTAATATTTTTCCAGGAACTGACAGCATCAAAATTCCTCTATAGTTTTCACATTCCTGAAGATCACCTTTTTTGGGCAGTTTCACAAGATAT